TCCAACTGCTCTTCGTTGCCAGAACTCAAAGGGCTTCCGAGGAGCACGGTTTGCCCCTCGAGGGTGAGGCTGCGCAGACTGCCATTCTGACGTGGAGTAGATAGAAAGCACAGACTCTTTGGGGACAGTGAGAGAACTGGAAGCCTTCCGAAGTGTGAGGATAATCGAGAAACAATAGCTTCACCTTTTTATATTTTCATTTAATTAAGGCTTCTGATTTTGTGCTATGACATAGGCTCGTAGCTAATCTCTAAAGGAGTAAACAAATCCAAACCACTGCCATTAAGTCAATTCCAACTCAGAGTGGCCATATAGGCTAGAGTAGAAGGAGCCCTAGATGCTCAGAGGTTATGTGTTGGGTTGCTGAACAAAGGTCAGTGGTTTGAAACCACCAGCTGCTCTGTGGGAGAAAGACAAGGTTTTCTACTACCGTAAACAGTGACAATCTTGGAACCCCAAAGGGGCAGTTCTACCCTGACCTGTAAGTTCACTATGATCGACTAGATGGCAGTGAGAAAACTGCTCGGAAGGGTTTCTGAGACGGTAAATCTTTACAGGGGCAGAAAGCCTCATCTTTCTCCCATGGATCAGTTAGTGGGCTTGAACCGCTGACCTTGTGATCAGCAACAAAACACTTAATCCACTACACTACCAGGGCTGCACTAGGAATAGGTTGCCTAATTTTCTCCCCACCCCCCTTCACACGCACACCTTTTTTTCGGTTTTTGGGAATTACCTAAAGGCTTGGCAATCTCAAGGGAGGTGATCACCAGAGGACGATGCAGTAGTTAGCTCAGCTGCTACCTGAGAAGTCAGTAGTTTGCACCTAGTGAGGAACCCTGGTGGTGTGGCGGGTTACATTTGGGGCTATTAATCGCAAGGTCAGCAGTTCAAAATCAGCCACTTTCTGGGACAAAGATGAGGCTTTCTAGAAAAATTAACCTTCCTACTGCAGTAAAGCTTAGTCTCAGAAACCTACAGGGAGAGTTCTACACTGTCCTTTAGGGTCGCTATGAGTCAACATCAACTTGATGGTATGAGTTTGGTTTTGAGAGCTGCTCTGCAGGAGAAAAATGTCTGCTTCCATGAAGATTGGCAGTCTGGGAAACGTGTGGGGGCAGTTCTACCCTGTCCTAGAGAGTGGCCGAGGGTTGGAATTGATTTGAGTTGGCAATTTCATAAAGTTGAATTTTTCTTCGTTGCTTTGACTAGACAGACAATATCATGATGGTATATCAAGCGGAGTTAATGAAAAGGAGTGTTGGTTTTTTTTTTTTAAGGAGTGTTTTAAAGAAAAATAAGTAAAGCAAGGCCCTTGAATGATGGTGCATACCCCACAACCATCTACCAGTCATGGGCCAGAACTGAGCTACTCAGACAAGACTGGCTATATAACATGCGATGCTCAATCCAACATTAAAATTCTTCATAATTTTAAGTATCTCAAGGCAACAACCACAGGGCCCCCGTGTGGCGGTGGGAACGCACACACCCATAATACCAGTCCTGTGCATGGCTCTTCTCTAGGATCTTCCATAGGAAAAGCTTGCCAAAGGCCAATTATTATTTAGAGGCCCCACTACTGCTTCTGCTCATGTGATATTTTCAAACTAACGTTTCATAATGCCACTGTCCCAGGCAACTAAATCCGATGTTTTCCCTGTGTGTGCATTTATGTGTACTCCTTGTCTGACACAAGGTAGATTGTTCTTATAATCGCTACATGCAGTGTGTTAATCTGGGTACTTTAAACAAATCCACAGAAACTCATGTAAAAGAGAGAGTTTTATTTACAGGTTAAGTGCACATCAAGAAAACATGCCAACCAGTGCTACCCAAACACACAAGTCCAACATTAACCCATATGTCTGACACCAATCCACAAAGTCCTCCTCCATCTCACAAAACAGATGCAATGATGCCGACTGCAGTCAGTGAATGTGTAAACATCTCAGTGCTGGCAGGGTCTCCACACGGGTGCTCCAGCACTTAGGGCTGCATCGGGGTAGGTCCATGTGGCTTCTCCTCAGGGATGTCTTGCCGGAAGTGACCCTTGCCAGCTAAAGCAGGGCTAAGCTGGCTAAGGCAGCTGCACCCTGGTCCTACCATCAGAAAGCAAGAGACCCAAGAACTAGAAAGGTGAGACTCGCTGAGCCATTTATGTCTCCACCCTTCAATTAACCCCACATGTGTTTATTGGACAGGTTGGCACAATAACTACCTCAATCCACCCCTTGCCAACCTGGCACCTGTACATAATTCTTTAGCTTAACGATTGAAATTAATTAACACCTACACCTTAATCCTATAATCCTGTGAATATGTTCCCCCACCTATGAAAGTTTGTAAGCCAACCACTCCATGCCTTTATCCCCCCAATTTTGAGTATCCAATTTATATGCTGCTGTGTTAGTCTGGGTACTTTAGAGAAACAAATCCACAGAAACTCATGTATTAGAGAGAGTTTTATATAAAGGTTAAGTGAGCATCAAGAAAACATCCCAACCCAGTGCTGCCCAAGCC